AAGAAAAAGCAAAGAGAAGATGAACAGACAAAAGAAGTTAGTCAGAAGAAAATCGAAATAACTTCAAAAACAGAAAAAAATTGAGAACGGAAGAATAATTGGCATATAACAAATAACATTTCCATTATCCATCAGCTGATACCCCTCCTCTACTCTTCTTGAAAAAAAATTAATTTCGGAACTGTGGGTTTTTTTCTTCTTTTTCTTCTGCCATTATTGCTGCCTTTCTTTTTTTGCTTATAATAACACTTCAATTTCGAGTATTCTGATTAGAGAAGGAGAAATAAAAGCAAAAAAAAGCAAAAATTAATCTTCCGTTTCTCCAAGTCATTTTTTCAAAATACATATGAAATAGTATTTTTAAAAAAGTCCAAATTTTTCTCTTTTTTACAGTTGTCGTTTAAAAAAAAATGTTTTATTCATCTCAGTTTCTTTTTTTCCTCTTCATCCTAGTTTGGCTATAAATTCTGACAAAACTTACTTATTTTTTCCAACCTTTATCCAATTCATTGTTGCTGTAATTATCACCTAAGCCTTTCAATGCTGCAAAAACTAGAACAAAAAAAGATATCTAGAGTTAGCAAAAAAAGATATTGCTGTCAAAAAGTTATGATATATAAGTAAAAAAGAAGAAGTGTATTAAAACAAAGCGAAAGACAAACGAAGAAATTTGAGCGCAGTGTCACTGCAAAAAGAATTTTTGTCCATAAATCACTGTTGGCTGTCATTACCGACACCCATTTATTTAATCCAATATTTATTTGCTGTTTCTTTGGTTTCTCTTTTCTTAACCTAACTTTTGGTCTGCTTTGGAAAAGGAATTTCAAAGCCTCTAAACTCCAAGAAAAAACATACGTTGATAATTAAGAAGCGGTAAAGAAAGAAAAAAAAATGAAGTAGCAAAAAATTTAAACTATATTAGAAGGAAAAACTTAAATTTAAAGTTAAACTCAAAAAATTTAAAAAAAAATGAATATTATCAACAACAAAGTTTGTTGAAGAAAAGTTAATGTTTCAGAAGCAACAGAAGAAGAGAAGAAAATATTATAATAAATTACATATTTCATACTGGGCAAACAACAGCGGCAACAGCAACAAACCTTCCAAAAAAAAAATTAGACTTTTAATAAATAATTTATGATTTAATTACCATTAAAATAAGCAACAAAAAAAAACAAGAAAGATTTGAGGGCAATAAAATTTGATAAAATGGTAGTCAACAAATATCTCTGCAAAAACCTTTTATCTTTGGTTTTTTTTCTGTCCATTTTTTTTTAATACCCATACTTAGTTAGTTTTATGTATTTATCAATTTAAATAAAAAGTTCAACTTTTTTTTCCTCTCTCTTTCTTTCCGATCAAACTGGTAAAATTTTTTTTAAAAATATTGTCAAAAAGAAACAAAACAAAAAGCAGACAAATAAACAAACTTCTATGAGAAAAAATCACTTTAGACAAAAAAATAAAGATAAAACTGACTTCAAAATACAGAAAACCCGTTACTTTTTTCCCCGACATTAAAAGTTTGTCATTTAATGTGATTTTAATGCTTTATTTTCCCTTCTTCTTCTTCTTCTTCTTTTGCTGCTGCTGCTACTGCTTCTCCTTCTTCTTGGCCTTCATTTTAGTCGTCTCGCCTCCCCTCCTTCCCCCCCTCCACCTCAATAAAAAAAGAACGGACTTTTTCATCAATATCAACTAAAGCACCTGTCATCACAAAAGCAAAAAAGATATAAGACCAAAAAAACCAAAAGAAAAAACCCCTAAACTTTTGCTGTAAAAATCAACAGTGACCACCTACAAAAACAAATATACAGAATCTATTTCTGTGTATATTCTTCAAACAACTTAACACTGTTGTATAATCACTGGTATTCTGACAATGTACTATATTGATGAAGACAGCAGATACAGTTCTAAATATGTTCAGCAAAAAAATAATAGACGAAGAAGAAGAAGAAGAAGTATCAACTGCATTAAAAGTTAAATTTTTTAATTCTTTTTAAAACTACAAATATCTTTTCTGACCAATAAATCATTTTCATTCTTTGCTATTCCTTCGAATTGTTACTCCACCCTTCCCCTCCCTTTCTTTCATCTTTAATGAACAATGTAAAAAAATAAAAGACACAAGAAGTTAATGTATAAGTAATAATCTTATGCATACTGCGTAGTCATCAAAAATCTTTGCCTATTTTATCCATCAATTTCGGCGAACAAAGCAAACCAAGGAAAAATAGTGTAAAAAGAAAAAAAAGGAAATGTATGCTTTTCTGTATAAATCATTATTGTCATCGTTCCGACTCGAATTCGTGCTTCACCAATTTCTCTCAAATACCAACGGCAACAACACCGACCTCACTACTACTATCACCAACCCCGTCATTACCATCACCATCGCCATCACCATTAACACCACCGCTACTATAGTTACCAATAACAACAACATCCCCAAATCAGATGTCACCATCACGACAAAAGTCAGCACTTTTATCCCTATTTGATTAGCAAAAATTTATTGCCAAAATTCTACTTCCTCATTCTGCTGCCGCTACTCTTGCTGCTTCTGATTCATTACTATCCATTTTGTAAGTAATGTAATTACAAAATGGATAGTAATGAATGAGAAGCAGCAAGAGTTGGAAAAAAAAGAAAAATACAAACAATTAAAATTACGAATACTTGTCTATGGTTGTCAAACTGTTCTTAAAACCAACCGATTACCACCAACTGTCTTTAACACCCCTCTTCAGTCTTCCCAAATATTAGCCATTTTTCAACTCAAACTACCGCCTAAGTTAGTCCTCCTTAGTTTGGTTATAAACGTCAATTTCTTCAACTGAACTTCATTTAAAAATAAACGAGAATAACCAGCACAAAAAAAAATTTTTTTCTAGAAAAATTAAATAAATTCAAAAAAAGGTCAAATAAATAAAGAAAAAAAAAAAAACATAAAGAAGAAAAATAAATTAGAATTACTGACGAGGTACGTCTCCAGTTTTAGCGAGTAGTGATAACGATGCTATAACTTTGCGCAGCTGTTCATCATTCATCATATAGTACACTGCCCCCAACACAAACACGCATAATACACACACACACAC